CTGGAGGCTGTGTTGCAGGATTTAAGTTCTAGCCTCAGCTCTAACTCATCCTAACCTGTCATCAAAACAAGTAGCTGAGACCTCCCTAGGCCTGTTTGCTTTTCCATAAAATGGGGATATGAATCTCTTCCCTCCTATATTTTCCCCATTTGGAAAATAAGGAGAATAATTGCCCCACTTTCTGGCACTGAATTGATGATGGCAATAATTTTCTTTTCTCAGTGGCCAAATAGATGGTTGTTTTACCCATTTCCTTCTTGTACACAGTATTCTCAAAGCATTGGAGGTTTCAATGAAAGGGCACATTAAATTGCTCTTTGGAGATGCAGTGAGTGATGTCAGGCATCCTATCTATCTGTCTGTCTATCTATACATGAGATCTGTTTTAGGGGCACGTACTGTGGCATAGTGAGTTAAACCACCACCTGCAGTGCTGACATATCAATATGGATGATTTTTTTTTTGTTTCCAGATGCTCTACATCCTATCCAGTTCCCTGCTAATGTGCCTGGGAAACAGAGGAAAATGGCCCAAGTGCTTGGGCCCCTGCATGAGTGCAGGGGCCCCAGAAGAAGCTCCTAGCTCCCTCTATCTCTGCAGCTCTGCCCTTTGAATAAAATAAAATAAATCCTTAAACTCTTTTTCTTTAAAACTTGTTTGAAAGACAGAGTTAGGGACAGACTGACAGAAAGTAATCTTTTATTGTTCTGGTTCATTCTGCAAATGACCTCAGTGACCAGGCCTGGGGCAGGCCGGACCTAGGAGCTTGGAACTCCATCCAGGTCTCCTACCTGGTGCAGGATGTGAAGCACTTAGATCATCTTCCATTGTTTTCCCAGGTTCACTAGCAGGGAGCCGGATCAGAAGTGGAGAAACCAAGACTTAAACCAGCTCTCATACATGATTAGATTTCACAGGTGGTGACTTAACTGGCTGGGCCATGAACACTTTTTTTTTTTTTAAGATGTGTTGATTAATTTGAAAGTTACAGATAGAGGGGAGAGACAAAGAGAGAGGTCTTGTGTTGGTTCACTCTTTTCTCTCCAAGTAGCTGCAATGGCCAGGCTGGAGCCAGGAGCTTCATTTGCATCGTCTGTGTGGTGGCAGGGGCCCAAAAAGTTGGGCCATCTTCAGTAACTTTTTCCAAGCAGTTAGCAGGAGGTTGAATCAGAAGTGGAGTAGTCCAGACATGAGCCAGAATCCCTATGGGATGCTGGCATTGCAATCTGTGGCTTTATACCCAGTATGCCCCTCAGATATAATTTTTTTAAAAAAGTATAATTGGCATGGTAGCCTAGTGGCTAAAGTCCTCATCTTGAATGTGCCAGGATCCCATATGGGCGCTGGTTTGTGTCCTGGCAACCCTGCTTCCCATCCAGCTCCCTGCTTGTGGTCTGGGAAAGCAGTCGAAGACAGACCAAAGCCCTGGGACCCTGCACCTGCGTGGGAGACTGGGAAGAGGTTCCTGGCTCCCAGGTTTGGATGGGCTCAGCTCCAGCCGTTGCGGTCACTTGGGGAGTGGACCATCAGACAGAAGATCTTCCTCTCTGTCTCTTCTCCTCTCTATATATCTGCCTTTCCAATAAAAATAAATAAAATCTTAAAAAAAAAAAAAAGTACATTCATTTATTTGAGCTGAAGAGTGACAGAGCAAGAGGGAGAGAGAATGATCTGCATTTACCGGTTCATTCCACAAATACCACAAATACCTACAACAGCCAGGGCTGGGCCAAGCTGAAGCCAGGTGCCTGAAACTCCATTTGGGTCACATGAGTCACATGGGCCATCTTCCTCTGCCTTCCCAGGCACATCAGCTGGAAGGGATCAGAGGCTGATGGGCTGCAGCTGAAACTAGCACTTCAATAGGGGCTGTTGGTGTCCCAAAGGGAGGCTTAACTTGTGTCACAGCACCAGTCCCCAAAGCATCATTTACGAAGTCAACATTTATGTACTGTGCACGAGGTGACACTGCACAAAGAAAGCAGCACAGTCCCTGCTCCTGCAGCTTACAGGGAGGAAGATAAATAATCAAATAGTCACACCAAAGAGTGTGCGTAGTAGACACTACTTTGGAATAAAGGTAAACGTGGTGTAAATTTTCTTTCCGCTCCAGACTATAGCCTGCTGGGAGTGACGTTCCTGCCCCTGCCGGAATTCCAGAGGCTGCAAAGGTGGAGGAAATGTGCTCCAATTCTGGTTTGCTAGGGAGTGGCCTCCTAGAACCACAGAAAGGTTTTCCTCTGTTTCCTGTTCCCAGGGGCTTGGTCTAGCATGGCCCAGTGTTTAAACTCTTCTTTACACTTAGTTTAGTCGGTAGTAAGACTGGAATGGGGAGCTCAGCCTTCTAAATCCTCATGTCTTATCTACAGTGACCCCCCTCCTCAAACACATGTGCCAGTCATTCTAGGAACCTCCAAAAGTGGAGGCTCGAAGTGGGTTAGACCCTTCAGGGGACACTTGTGTTGGATGTCCCGTGTGCCACGGACTCATGGGACCCAGGACAAGAGAGAGAGCACACATGTGCTGTGGAAATGTCAGAGCTGACTCATTCCTGATTTTCTGATCCCTAGTGGGGTACTTGTTTTCCAAGAACTCTTAGTGGAACATTGACTTGCTTCATTCCTGAGAAGATCCAATCTTTTCCATCACACCCACCTCTACATTCTGCCTTGCGGCGCCGTTCCTGGCTCTGAGAAAGGCCTGGCTAGCCCTCTGCTTTCTCAGTACCTACAGGACCAAAGTCAAACCTTGTTTTTCTCCTGGTGCTGGTTGTTTTTCTAACCCCTGGAGCTTATTTTATAACCCTAGTTGTATTGCTCACCTCTTGGCTGCCTTTGATATGCCCTATAGATCTCTCTGTCGATAACTTCCTGCTAGGCAAGAAATTTACTATCATCTGGCAGCAATATTAGCAGCTCTGTCCCTGGTTTTGTCCTTGCCCCTCACCTGGTGGCTTCCTAGGAATAGAAGCACCGTTAGTTTGGGTGGGTGAAGTGTCATTTGGCCAGAGGAACATGTCCTGAGGACTGGGGTATTACAAACAGGTCTTTTGGTCTCCACTAAACCCAACACTTGTATTTTTATTTTTATTTATCTACTTACAGAATGGGTTTGATGATGGGATTTCTTTTTCTCTTTAAGTTTGAGAGAGAAGAAATCTAGATCCACTAACTCGTTTCTCAATGCTTGCAGCAGCCAGATCTGAGCTAAGAGCCAGGAACTCTGTCCAGGGCTCTCCCCTGGCAGGCAGGAGTCCAAGGACTTGAGCCATTACCTGCTGCCTCCCATGGTGCACACTGGCAGGAAACTGAATAGAAAGGGTAGGAGCCAAGACTTGAACCAGGCACTCCAATATGGGATTCACATGTCCCAAGTGAGCTTAACCATTGTACAAGTACATGAGCCTTCTGTTAGCTCCTTTAAAAAAATGATTATTTGTTTATAGGTTTAAGTAACAGGGGTGAGGGGGAGAGAGACAGAAACAGGGATCTTCCATCCACTGGCTCATTCCCCAGATGGCCACAGGGAGTCAGGAGCTTCATTTGGGCTTCCCACATAAGTTCAGGGGCCCAAGCAATTCTGCTGATTTTCCCAGGCCATTAGCAGGGAGCTAGATTAGAAGTGGAGTAGCTGGGCCCTGGCGTGATAGCATAGTGGTTAAAGTCCTCGCCTTGCACGTGCTGGGATCCCATATGGTCACTGGTTCTAATTCCCATCTGAAAGTCAGGTTTTGAGATTTAAGCATAAGACTGTATTCCCTCCAGCTGGTTGAAAACCACGGACAGGAAAGGGTGGGCGCCCAGAGACCTTCACCGGCCGCGTCCGGCTGGCCTCACCATACACGGGGGCCTCTGTGTCTTACCTCAGGCGTTCAGTGCCATAGCTGGGCAGAATATGAAGTGAGAGCTTTCCCAGAAGCCATCCAAAGCACCCTGGTTATCACCTTTAATCCCCACAAGTGGACAAAGGAAAACTTGGGAAGAAGCATGTCAGGAACTGCCCAGCACTAACACCTACACTCCTCCCCTGCTTGGCACAAACAACCTGAGAGCCAACCATTCAGTCCTTGCTGCTGGCCTCACCTCTTAGGAGGCAGAAACAGCCTGGAGCATACAGAAGCAGAGGTGGATTAGTGGAAAAAGCATGGGATTAAGCAGCAGGAGACTGACTTTAGGATCCGATTTTACCCATCAGTAGCTGTGGAATTTGGAGAGAGCCACTTACATCTATATCTCGGTCTCTGTGTTTGCAAAACGCTTGATCTTAGCCAAAAGGCTGAGAAGCGATGTGTGTTTGCAAAATGAACACCTGCCCTTCCGCCTCTTCTTGACTCCCAGAGTTGTTTGTGAGGGTTCCGTGGGATGGTGAAAGGGAATGACCTGAGAAAGAACCAGGTGCTGAGGCTCTGCATGGATTGTACCCCTACAAACCACCTCCAGACAAGAAGGGTTGTGTCTGTGTGCTTCTTGCATGTTCTGCACCAAGGGTGGGGCTGCTGTGTCTGGTGGCAAAGCCAGCCTCCAGGGGTGCTAGCTATGAGAACCCCTAATCAAAGGGGTGTGGCTGCAATCTAGCCAAAAGAGACTGCCCTTGAAAAGCTTTCTAGCTGGCAGATGGTCTCTGAGAACCAGTCACCGACCCAGGCCTGCCATCTTCAGCGTCTGGAGCCCTCAGGAGCTCAGGTGGATACACCACGTGTGGCCCAGTCCCAGGGTCCCAAGCTGTGAAACTCATGGCTTACTTGGTGATAGTCCACTTGCTATCACCAAGACTTAGTTGTGTCTTCTGCAAAATGTGGGACATGATTATAGGTGTGACTCTACAAAGAAGCGGCCAGTATGTGACACTGCCCTATTCCCTTTGTCCTACCTGAGGGATCATTTGTACCAGACGCCCCTCTGCATGAAGAGCAACCAGCTCAAGGTACTCTCAGGGCAAAACAGACATGAAACTAGGCAGCCAGCTGCCCTTACTCTGCCCCTCTCGGTTCCTTTATGCAGGAAACATCATTGGCTCCGGGATCTTTGTCTCGCCAAAGGGCGTGCTGGAGAACGCCGGCTCAGTGGGCCTTGCCCTCATCGTCTGGATCGTGACTGGTCTCATTACAGCTGTGGGAGCCCTCTGCTATGCCGAGCTCGGGGTCACCATCCCCAAATCTGGGGGTGACTACTCATATGTCAAGGACATCTTCGGAGGACTGGCTGGGTAAGATGATCTTAGAGTTTTGAGGAATGGTCCAAGAGGGAAGGAGAAAGAGCCCAGAAAAGACGTTAGCTCAAGAGAGGAAGCCATGGCAAAGCTCTGTCTCCAGTGAATGTGCCTCCACTGGGCAATGTGGCTCTGTGTGCTCTCGATGCCCCTGAGAATGACCAGGCTGTAATTCGGAGCTCTGTTGATCTTATGGGCAAAATGCTTGGAGTGAGAACAAATAGAACCAGAGGTCACACAGACCATGAGCACCCTCACAAAACAAAACCCTTTGATTTTGAACAATGGGAGTGACCACTAAGATACACCCACCCGTGCCCTCTTCTTACAATGCCAAGAGAAGTGGACTTCCGGGGAAGTCGGGCTCTGAGTTTCTGGTTTCTACAAACCCTGCCATGGTAGTCAAACCTTCCCATGGGCCAGAGGAAGAAGGGCCCAGAAACCCGCTCTCAGTGCAACCCCTGGAAGTGGCTTAAAATGCAGTTAGCCTGCTGTGACTATCAAAATTCTGGGGTTGCAAATTCTATATTTGCACTGTGGGCTGGTGGGAGCCCGAGTGGTTAGAGGAGGGAGGATGAAAGCCAAGTACAAAAAGGACACGCCAAGAGTGTGTTGGAGCTCGTTGAAACGCAGCTCTGGATTGTTAAACCATTTTATTGTCATCGCCTGGAGCTGGCTGTCTCCTTAGAGGGTGGGGCTGGGCTGGACTCTTTTCAGCATCCCTAAGCGAAGCTGGGAATGCACCCATTCAACCCTGCTAAGGGAAGGGAGGAGGCCCCACTTGCCCAGGCTTTCCCCATGACTGACCCCCGCCCTGCCCTTTGGCGGTGTCCTGTTCCTCCTTCAAGGTTCCTGAGGTTGTGGATTGCTGTGCTGGTGATCTACCCCACCAACCAGGCTGTCATCGCCCTCACCTTCTCCAACTACGTGCTGCAGCCACTGTTCCCCACCTGCTTCCCCCCGGACTCTGGCCTTCGACTCCTGGCTGCCATCTGCTTATGTAAGTGTCTCCAAAACCTCGCTCGCTTGCTCATGGGTGGTATGGCCTCTCTGGCCTTCATGGAGGGCCACCCGCCTCTGATTCTCCTTCTTTCCCGCCTTGGTCTACACACACATACACACACACACACACACACATCGCCCCCACCCCATTCCCTGCTACTTTTCTATGAACGCACAAGTGTTTTGGGTGAATGAAAGAATTCTGCATCCAATTATCTGGTGTTAAGAAAAAAAAACTTAAATAGCACAATTAGCTATTTAAAGATTGCTCTGTCATTTCCTTTCTGTTTTTAAAGATTGATTGCTTGATGTGAAAGGCTGAATTACCAAGAGAAAGATATCTTTCATTTCCTCACTGGGCTGGGCCAGGCCAAAACCAGGAAGCTGGAACTCCATCTGGGTCTCCCACATGGCCAATTTTTCACTGTCCTTCCAGGTGCCTTAGCATGGAGCTGTGATTCATTCTGGCTGGGTTTTTCATGACACAAAGCACTTTCACCTCTATCATCTGATTTGAGCCTCATGCCAGATCTACCATGTCAGCTGGGCCGGTTTTATCATTTTCCTCAAATAGATAAGGGAACAGGGGAACAAGCAAGTGCCTGCCCCAAGAAGGCAGCCCTTGAATGGAGTCTAGATCTCCTGATTTCTCCTTCTCCCCCTCCTAGCACATAGTGTCCATGCTGGCCTCTCCCAGCCACTGATCCAGAAGATGATTCTGGCCTATGGCAGTGAGTCTTTGTCTACTACCTCACCTTGCCCAACCACACTTTATAAACTTAAGGAGGAGAATGTGTCCATGGTTATTCCCCTAGATGGCTTTTCTAACTGGAGGAAATCCTGTGTTTAGGATTCACCTGGAACCGTAATTCAGTAAATAGGGAAGGCTCTCTAGAAAAAGATAGGGACACTCCATGAAGAAGTTCTGCAGAGGAGCCAAAACAGGTAAAGCTGCCATCTGCGATACCAGCATCTCATGGGCACAGGTTCAAGTCCTGGCTGCTCCACTTCCTATTCAGCTCCCTGCTAATGTATCTGGGAAAGCAGCAGAGGACGGCTCCTGCCCCCCTTGGATCCTTGGGCCTCTGCTGCTCTTGTGGAAGACCTAGAAGAAGCTTTTGGCTCCTGGCTTTGGCCTACCCATCCATGGCCATTCTGGCCATCAGGGGCGTGAACTAGCGGATGAATATCTCTCTGACTTACAAATAAATAAACTAATGTTTTAAAAAGTTCTGCAGAACATTGTACCAGGAGCAATTGGTGCATAATTTCTATCAATAACCTCAAGGGATTGGAAGTATTTTCCATCTTTTTTAAAAATAAAGGTTTGTTTATTTGAAAAGCAGAGCAGCCAGCACTCCAGCCAATGCCCAGGTAGGATGCTGGTGTCTCAGGTGGCGGCTTAACCAGTTATACCACAATGCTATCCCCTTATTTTCCATCTTTACCCAAAGACTATTTTCTAAAGTAGGGCGTGGCTGTGTTTCCTAGGCTGTACTTCCAGAGCTCGTTCAGCACTTGCCTTCCCCCACCTTTTAGACACTCACCAAAAGAGTGGCCATCCCAGGCATACCTCTCCCAGATCCCGATACTTCTGTCTTGCTGGTGGATGGGCAGTGAGGGGTAAGGGGATGTTCTGCATCAACTCGTCCTCACAGTAACATCTCGCAGGCCAGGTGGTTGAGACCCAAGAGGTTCTTGACAAGCATGTCCTCTTTGGCCCTGATGGTCAGCCCTGGTCATAGCAGGTAGCCAGGTTGTAGCCTTGGCTACATGGGAATAGGTTCCTCCCACCGGATCAGATCAGATCAGATCATACCTCTCTAGTGGTGGAGGGGGATGCACCCAGGATGGGGCTGCCTGGGCCTGTGTGTCCCCTCTCAGCCCCCTTCCCCCATGTAGGAGACTGGCTCCAGGAGTGCCAGGACTAGGACAGCCCAAGGGAAAGAATGAGACATTCCCGGCCCCCCCCCCCGCCCCAATCAATCACTAAGAGTGGGCTAGGGCATCATGTGGTAAGGCTCTGCTTCCTTGTTTCCTAGCTGGGGCCAGAGCAGGTGGGGGCAGGGAGGAAGGAGGCCGTGGGAATGCAGGAAGAGTGGCAGTTTCTGCCATGAGACAGGCCAGTGGGGGGTGATGGGGAGGAGGACCACAGGAGTGCTGGCCGCTGCTGTTTTGGTGTCTTGTGCACACAGACAGCTTCCTTTTTCCTGCTGACGCTGCTGAAGTAGCTCAGACAAGAGGCTGTCCCTACCCCTAGGACAGGAGCCCCGACACGGCCATGGCCAAGGTCAAAGCCATGGGCTGCAGTTCCTTTGTCTTTTCCAAACCACCATATGAAAAAACCCTCTCCGTAGGCCGTGACCTCATTGCAGGTGGGGAGGTGAGAGCCCCTTCCTACCCACAGCCCCTCTGCAGCCTAATATCCCATCACTCAGCACCAACCACCTAGCACCAAGACCCATGAAAACACACACACACACACACACACACAATTCTGCCCTCTGCTTTTCTGGCCATCAAAGGTTCCATAAAGTGTCAGGCCTGGGCTGTCTCCGAGATAAAGCGCCAGGAAGCCGGCTTCAGCTTAGCAGCCGTCAGAGCCACCCCCAGACAGGAATTTTTCAGTGTCCTTGAAATCTGTGTTCAAGAATTTCCCACAGGCAGAAGCAGAAAAATCTTCTGAAACCTTTTTATTGCCAAGCGGATTTGGAGAACAGCTCCTTCACTCTCCCTGGGTAGTGTCCCTGCAGGGTGCACACCTACAGGGAAATGCAACCCCCCCCCAACATACACACACTTCCTCTCGCCTCTTCGTTAAGCCAGACACTCCCTCCCAACTGCTTTGAGTCTGGTTTGTTGAATTTTTTTTTTTTTTTTTTAGACACTACAGGCCCTGAAATTGTCTTAATGTAGTCAGTAAAAGATTTGGTGGATAGCTGTCTTTCATGAAGTGCTGGCATCCATTATTTTAGCACCCACCCACCACCACCATCCTACCCACTCCATCTTCTTAGCAGGTGCCGGGCATGCCAGCCTAGCCATCCTCTGGAGAGAAGCGGGAGAGAGCGTGGGTACAGCCTGAAGGTCCCTACATAGGAAACTCAGCTTTCTGTTGTCTCATTTTGGCACGTCCGCTGAGCTGTGCAAAGCTTTGGGGAAAGGCCACCACCCTCTGCGGGGAGGTCACCGGTGTGTAATGCCAGGCGCTGCCGGAGGACAGGGCATGAAGCCCAGCAGGGAGAGTGGCTGTAGCCAAGGCCCTGGCTAGGGTTTGCTGTGAGAGGGGAGGAGATGAGGTCAAGTCTGGTTCTGTGGTGGGGCCGTGTTTGGAAGAGATCTGATGAAAAAATGAAGTTGGGATGAGCCAGATGGTGGGGGTGGAAAGGCAAAAAGAACCTGCTGTAACTGGCTTGCCTGCTCGGGAGCCTGGAGGGGGTGGAGGAGAGGAGAGGAAGGAGAGGGAGAGCCAGAAGGAACTACAGATTTGGAGCACGCTTATGCAACTGCAGCCGACCCTTTGGATTTCTTCTATGATTTAGGTCAAAGCCGATTATTCACTGCTGAGTCAGCAGAATATCCCTGGCTTCCAGGCAGTAGAGAAAATATTTTACATTTTAATTAAAGGAAAGGCCTTTTTCCTTTCTTCAGGGCAAGTGTGGGAGGATGAGAGGGAAGGAGGGAAGACAGAGGAGACTGGGCCTCATCAGAACCAGGGTATTCATACCTTTCTGTTTTCTTTTTGGTTATTGTTATCTCAGAAGCAAAGGCTGTGTGACTCATGTCAGAGATTCACGGGGGGCACAAAGGAGCTCAGTAGTGCTGCAGAAATAGCGGTTGGGTGCCTAAATAGAAGGCATCAAGGTGTGGGTCTGAGTAGCTCACCATACACATTGACAGGTAGATATTCATGCACACATCTGGGTAGATCAGCACATACACATGAACAGGTTGTTTCTGTAACTTGCCCTTGTATCATGCAGTTGAACCTTTATGGTGTCAGAAAACAAAGTTGCAAACCTTTGAAGATCTTAATTGGCCTTACTTTCAGTTCTAAAAGTCAGCAACATTTCAGAAAATAGGGTGAGTGCTCCAAGGACCCAAGTTGAGATTGTTTGTTGTAGGTTTTCTGTTTGTTTAGATAAAGAAGATCTCGGAGAAAGCAGAAACAATGCAAAAAAGCATTGATTGTTTCAGTTACTTTCCCTGGCCTGAGGTGGAGGTGGGGTGGGGGAATGGGGAGGCAGGGACAGAATGAAATGAAGATAGCTAGTTAGCCAACCTCTGTTACTTCTTTTTTGTTCTGGGGATTAAAGCAATGTCCCATTGAGTATTTGAGAAATGTGGCCGTTATCTCTCTAATCCTGCCTGACGGGTCAGATCAAAGGTCTAGTTTCAGTTTGGTGACCCGAAACTTTAGCTTGAGTGACACCATTTTGACTTTTAGTTCGGTCTGGTGGGGACCAGAGCCAAGCTGTGTCTAACACAAAGACTTTTCCTGTCATTTTTACTTAAAACACCTGTGCTACCCAGAGTGGCCATGGTGACACCTAGCACCAAGTACGTGCCTGGAGGGTGGGGGAATATCCTTTCTTACATTTATTTATCTTTGTGTCTTGTCCCTAACTTGGATTTTCCATTGGGGTCTGTCTGTCCTGCCTTCCTTCCCCTAGGGACAGAGCCACCTTTAGCTGAGATCACTCCAGGCCTGCTCCTCTTTTGGGGCTGGGGTCACATCTCTCATCTCGGTAGCACATTCTCTCTGAAGATCTTGCCTCCCAGAAGTTCCTTCTTTCTCCTCACCCCTCAACAGAAAGGAGTACCCTGCAGCGCATTTCACAAAGGAAAAAATGCTTATTATCTTGTTTTCTATCTTTCTGCTGAGATTCCTAAGAGGCTACTTTTCCAGAGCTTCATATTTCTCCTTCTCCTTCTTCCCTGAGTTATTTGGAAGGCAAAGTGCTTCACCTATACCTTCTGATCCCAGTGGTTTTGCAA